TAGGGTGATGGAATGCAGTTGTTAAGATTTCAGAGTTATCTTTATCACATCACTATACAGTTGCTAAGGTGTTTTAAGCACTTGTCTGTTTTAGTTTCTACATGTGGTATATGTCTCATACTGCTCTTTTTATTATCCACCATGTGAACACCGCAAGTCAGATTGCTTAGAAATCCAACTTCAAACCTTTTCTCAACCAAACACGATTTTAGAATTCATTCACGTAGCTCAAACGAAGCAGGACAAGTCACGTCCTAAAGTTGAATACTTCGGGTTAGGGGTTTGTTGGAGGGATCGTCTGATCATTCTCTTCTTCGTTGCATGCCTTCCTCCTCCTCCTCTCGTTCTGTGGAATGCGCTATCATTCTTTCATGGTGGGGTCGGCCTCTTGTGCGAAGTCTGTCAAAACAAGCAGCCTTCATCTTTCCTGAGCTGAAAAAATCGGCTCATGCTAGGAGGCTCTGCTGAGCTGGCCGGGCCCCGGGGTCTTCCTGTAATTAACCCTTACTGCGCTCCCTCTTCTCGCTAATCCAGAACCTTCACAGCTGATCCGTGCCCCCCTCCCCGTGACCTCCGACCCCGCGCACCTCTTCTTGGGTCACATGACTGGTGCAGGTGTGGAGAGGACCCCGGCCCCGTTGCCCCCCAATTAGCGACCCTAATTAGTGACGAAACCTCCTGCAGGGTCACTGAACAGGGTCTAGGGAGCGCAGACGGGCAGAGAGAGTGGGAGGGAGGGAGCACGAGAGAAAAGAATCGCACAGGAAGAGGGAGGGTGGCGGCGGTACAGCGATGCATGGTTAAAGGCATGAAGGCCAAAACGGCTTTTACACTGAAAAGGAAAATATTGCAGTTGCTGATGGACAGAGTTGCTTTAATGGGGCTCTTTTTTTGTCAAGGTGGCGTTTGAATTGTTGCCAAGCTGTACTATTGAGTGCAGATAAATACAAAGTTTATGTTCTCTTTTATTTTCCTTTGAAAACATTCTGGGTTTAAAAGTCCTGCAGTATTATGCCATTTTCTTAAAGGGGTAGTTCAGCCAAAGAAATGAGGATTCTGTCGTTATTGACTCACCTTCGTGTCATTTCAAAGCTGTGTGCTGTAGAAAAATGCTGTCGTGAATGGACGTGGCTTGCATATATATCGGCATGATGCTGTTTTGAAACCTGAAAATCATTGCTTAATGACGTATTAATTTATTTAGTAATCAAATTTCATTTGTTTCCTGAAGAATGCTCTTTATATACATATGTATATATATATATAGAGAGAGAGATACATTTAACAGCGACAGAGTCAGAAAAATGACACAAGTAGGCAAATTACATAGACATATATTTATATGCATATGAATAAAAACACATGTACATATTGTACAATATCTTGGCTTTTTAGCCAAACCATGAGAAAGGCTCTTTTGCCACAGGACACAAACTTTTTTAAATAAGTGCAAATAGTTAATGAGACAAAGAATTGTAAAGCATTTATATTTTTCATTCATTTTTTTCTGTAAGATCACATAATACAACAGGAAAATACTGTGCAAAGACTCATATATTTACATACTGTTTAAGTGTTTTCTTATTTGTGAGAAGCTGGTGCCATCATGTAATATTATTATTTTTTTTATTATTATAATTTTCTGACACGGTCACACAAATGCAGTACTGCCAAAAAGCTTTTGGCTTACATACACATAATCTTTGTGCCAGAACAAGAGCACTGACCCTTTAACGATGGAAGAAAATATGGAAATGAGATCAAATAAAACATAAAATCTTTCCACACAATCACAGTAAACTCAAACCACATTTTACAATCATATCTGTGGCAATGTGATTTATATATACTGTCTTTGCTTGTTCAACATACTTTGAAAACATATTTCAGGCATATGGTTCATAATTAAAGGGGCAACAAGTTTTTATCATTTTGTAGTGATGGTAAAGGTCTTCAGTGCTCAAAGCTGTTTACAAAGCTTTCTTAATCTACAACTCTGCTGCTTTTTTAAATTCACAGGTCTGTGAGATGCCCCATTAGTTTTTCAGTAATAATCATGTTAACAATATGATCAGCACATCATCATTCTTTTAAGAAACAGTTTGAGAGATGTCACCAAAAACCAGAGAGTGAGAAAAGAAAACGTGAGATGTGTACGGGTGTGTTTTTGTCTCGTAAGCCTCGACTGCATGCGCTAATGTTATGAGCCAGTGTCTGCCACAGCGCTTCAGGCTAAATGATGCTGCAGTGAATTATACATGCATCTTATAGAAAATAACTGTGTTCGACAACAACACCACCACTGCGACAAGAATTTTTATGCACAAGTTACAATCCATTTGCAATCAAATACTAGATGTATAAGCTAAAACCATGTTCGTGTCTTTCTCAGAAAGCAATGGAAGAGCAACTCAACAGGGTAAAGTCACTTTCACCTTGACTTAAAGGACTAGTTCACCCAAAAATGAAATTTCTGTCATCCTTCACTCACCATCATGTTGTATCAAAGACATTCTTGCTCTTCCATTCCAAAAACTCTAACAGAATTGTGAGTTTATAACTCAGAAATAAGTTTCCATATGTAGTTGACTGACTTGACTGAAAATGCCTGAAAATGCCTATTCATATTAAAGGGCGTTCACACTGACAGCAATTTCAAGTGACCAGAAGTCATTAACTTTTTGTTTTTAGGGGTGACATACTGTAAGTGGGAGCAACTGTTTAGCAACAAAGTTAAACAGAGTTCAACTTTACGCAAAACAGCAAACTTAAAAATTGTAAGCACACAGACTCAGCAAGTTGCAGCGCCTGAAATGGCTGTCTCTGTGAATGCTCCTTGAGAGCTAAACAAACAAGTGCTAAGGTCCTTTGGTCCTCTAGAGCAAAGCAAAAAAAAGCACATGTTTTAATGCAAAATACAACCCAGTTGCTCAATGCAAAATAAAACATCAGACAAAACAGATTTTAACTCAACCAGACAGTAACGATTTCACTCGGCATGGATACATCTATTTTGTGACCCCAAATCGAATTTGTGGGTGGGTTTTTTGCCACACATAGGAAAAAAAATTGACTTTACAGGACTCAAAAACAGGACTTTTCTGCCAAATTTCGTCCTAGTGTGAATAGGATTTCTTTGTCTTTTTTGGTGCAGCCTTTACATGATACAGGCTACAAAATCATCCTTTAAATATGAAAATATTGCATGAGTCTGCATGTATTAGCCTAGCTTTGGTGCATGACTTCATTTAATCAGTTTAGAAGTTGGGAAGTAGTTGTAGTAGATGTCTTTGGCTGTTTTTCAACGCACAAAAACTGGGAATATTTGGGGAATTTTTAAAAACCGGTGCATGCTATTCTTACTGATATGCATGGTAGGTTTTGAGTGAAGAAGACTAAGAAAATCCATTAACGTAAAGTGCATCTGATTCGAGGTAACGACAAAATGCTGATTAATTGTGGGTTGTAATTCTGCAGTCATAAAAAGCAGGTGTAAAAGCCCCAAACTGACCTTATGGCTCTGACAAGACACTTGGCATCAATAACTAATACTGACAGGGGAGGACAAAGTTCATTAATTGGGGTGGTGAAAAAAAGTTTATAAATTTCACACAAAACAAAAAAGTACTACCAATGTATTCTTTAGAGCAGGGGTGTCAAACTCAATTCCTGGAGGGCCGGAGCCCTGCAGAGTTTTGTTCCAACACACATACCATGTAGTTTTCAAATAAGCCTGAAAGACCTGATTAGTTGGATCAGGTGTGTTTAATTAGGGTTGAATCTAAACTGTGCAGGGCTCCGGCCCTCCAGGATTTGAGTTTGACACCCCTGCTTTAGAGCAATCCTTCTATCAAAGTACTTTTTTGTAAGTGTGTATTTTTGTTTTGATTCAGTCTCCAAACCTGTCGTACTGCAAAGCAAGCATTAGTGCATGTAAACTGCAGTCGGTGTCTAAATGATGTGCCCATACTGGGGTTCTCAGAAGTGGAAGTCACCATAGTTGGGTGAATTTCTATATCAGTGAATGGAAGCTACAGGAAATATAATTTATGTGTTCTCATTTGTCCCAATAGTGAAAAAAGACTTTTCAAAAAATTGACTGATTACGTTGGTCAGAAGAAAGAAAGATGTCAAATTTGCTGTCACTCCCTCAGCCGTTGCATTAGAAACACTCACGCAGCAGCTTTAACCAGTTTCTGAAATGTAAGGTTAATGAAAACCTTGTTAGATTTACGATGCTAATAACATCACAGTCTGTGAAAAGGGTCCTTATATTGTTGTTGAGCCTATAAGGGCCTCGCTTTCAATTGAGAAATCCATGTGTTACCAAGAGAAGAGACGAATTTCGCAGAGTTGTGCATTGTGACAACTTATCCTTGACGAGAAATGCTCGTGATGAGCACTTTTAGATGCTATTACTTTGCATTTAGCTAAAGACCTGTGTAATTCTCCACATGCTCAGATTTAAAGGGTTAGTTCACCCAAAAATGAAAATTCTCATTAATTACTCACCCTCTTGTCGTCCTAACCCTGTAAGACCTCCGTTCATCTTCGGAACACAAATTAAGATATTTTTGATGCATTCTGAGAGCTCTCTGACCCTCCCAGGTCAAAGAGGTCTCAGAATTCATCAAAAATATCTTAATTTGTGTTCCGAAGATGAACAGGGTCTTATGGGTTTAGAACGACATGAGGGTGAGTAATTAATGGCAGAATTTTCATTTTTGGGTGAACTATCCCTTCAATGTTGCATCACTGCTATATGAATAATCATTCTTTCCATTGAACTCTCATTAGTACCAAGGTCTTGTGTGGAATAAATGCCACAAAAGTTGTCAGTGCCTTGTTATTATTACTGTACGTGTTCACTCTCCTAATTCTCTCATTCTTATACTTTCACATAGACTCACATTTACATTCACACGAAGCTCCCCAAAGTCAATTAATTTAGAGCAGCATAAAAACGTACCACAATGTCGATAATTTTTTTCCTCATTTTCTAGTTTTTTTTTTTTTTACACTCAACTTGTGAAATGATTTAGCCTTTTACAGTCACGGTTACATTTACAGCGTTTTCCATCGTTCACATAGAATAAGTTCCTCACCACACAATTAATGCAAAAATGGAAGGAAACCTGTGGACGATGAAATTCACCGAACACAGCGATACTTAATTACAGGCTTCGTCCCAAACGCTCCCCTCCACTGGAACGATGGAGTCTGACCGGCCTCGGTTTGGTTGTAGGCACTAGCGCAAGAGAGGCCGTCTTTCAATCTCTTTCTGTTAGTTTGCGAACCTTCCGGTTGTTCACAGCACAGGTGAGACCCCTGAGACAGGTAGAAGGGGGAAGGTACCAGTCGGTTGGGAAAGTTTTTAGGAAACAGTCTTCTTCCCATTTAACTCTCCGTCCTTCCTCTCTATCCTCATGTAGGGCTCGAAGGCTGAGGATCCGCACCCATATCCCGATGGCAGTTCGTGATGGGTGCCACCCAGGAGAGGCATGGTAAAGCATAGGGAGGGCGGTGGGACCCCGAGGCATGGCGAGGTGCCGCCTAAAGAAGACAGCGACAGTCCGAACGTCCCGCCCGCCACCGCCCTGGGAGGCGTGGTGCTGCTACTCACCCCAGAGGAAGTGGATACGGACGGGCTGTCCAGGAGTGAGCTGTTGCCTGCGTGCGGGTGAGCCAGCAGCGGGTTGGGCGGATGTGCAGGCACAGACAGAAGACGCCCCTGTTCAAGCAGCCGCAGGATGTTGCAAGTGGCGAGCGATTCGGAAGTGGACGACGACCGTTTGTCAGTGTCCTTGGTCTGGTCCTTCTTCTGTTTGGTGCGGCGGTTTTGAAACCACACTTTCACCTGCCAAACGAGAGCGAAAGTTGTAAGAGAAATTGACAGTGTGAGACTTTTGATTCATTAGCTTCATTAGCCTGGTCTCCTCAACAAAAAGCCAATGGGATTTTTCCATTGGTTTTTGGATGATTTCAGAAAATAAGCTCTTAATAAGCTCTTATTTAAAAAATAAGATTTTAAAAAGGGGTTGACGCACAACTAGCAACCATTAGTTGAAACTAAAGAGGCCTTGATGACATTTAGTAGTGTTAGACAAATAGCAAGCAGCAGAATGATTTCTGACACTGAACTGAATGACACTGTGACACTGAGGAGTAATGATGTTTAAAATTCAGCTTTGTGTCACCGGAATAAATTACATTTCAAAATATATTCAAATAGAAAAGAGTTCTTTTAAATTTCAATATTTTAAAATTTTACAAAAGGACAAATATATTTCTGTCATGACAACTCTCGGAGGGATTGGCATGGTAATGTACATGATAATGTTAATACGTTGTAAACAGTGTTTCACCATTTGAAGGCTATAAAGTCCGTCACACAGTTTCAGTCCCTCTCATTGGTACAAACTCCATTCATTAGGAGTCTCTAAGAACGTATGACCCAGGACCTGTATTGTTTACAGCTGTATGTTGACCTCCATGACGACAGCAGTTTACAAACACACTCCGGAAATGAATTTCCATCGTAAACCCAGTAAGACGCTAACAGCTGAATAAAACCTGTGCCAAACAGTATTGCAAGCTGAGGTCTGTAACACTGAGATCATGGACTCGATGTGGCCATTAGTGTGAGGATAATGAGATTGTGGAGTGATCCCTTCAAGCTTACGCGAGCATACTGATGATGTGTTCATGAATAGTATGTGTACGAGAGCATGCAAAGTATGTATTTACATGCTCAATATATTTAAAGCTTTTTTTATACTTTAAGGCTGTAATCTATGTATTGGTATTCATATTTCAGATTTTTTTGCAGACCCTATAGTGGGCGGAGCTTACAGTTTTAGATTACAAAACTCAGCCATATTTCAACTTTACAGAAAGCAAAAGAAAAAAATAAAATATGGGAGTGAAAAGACGAAAGCAAATCTCTTCCATCGTACATCTACACTATTGGGATGAAATCCTCTTTAATGAGATCGAGGGTTAACCGCTGGGGCAGAGATTACTAAAGGCAGGTGGATAGATCATAGGATGGTGGATAGAATGATGGATGGATGCTAGATAGAGAGATATGCATTTTTCAATTCTGAATTTTGCAGAACCCTGAACAACACATTGAAAATCCAAAGAAATAAACTTATTCTAGAGCAGTGATGGGCAAACTTGGCCCTTCCAGGCCACTTTCCTGCGGAGATTTGATCCAACCCCTGATAAAACTCACCTGCCTGTAGCTTTCTTAAGCCCTATTCGCACAGGATTAGTATTATCTGGGGACCTTGTGAGATTTTGAAATTACCCCCCCACATCTGAATTTCGTGTGGTGCATTGCACCTGACCATCTGCTGATCTTTTTGACACCTTTGTTGACCCTGTCCAGAAGTTACACTGGCCGTTAACTGCCCTCTTGATCCCACACATGTGATAACGCTGTGCAGCCAGCGCGATGAGGCATTCTGGTTATTCGGTGACCCCTCTGTGACCTCTCTTCTTTAAAGAGCTTGTAGGTCATTAATCTCATGCATCTTTACTGAGAGATTTTTGATTTAGCCGAGGCCTGAGTTGATGTCTTTAGAAACTCTCTTGGTGCACATGCATATGCACACAACATATGGTTTGTCGTGAACATACTTGTGCTGTTATGTCCGGTCAGATGTTGTACACACATTCTGTAACACGCAGCTCACCTGTATTGTAATGTGGAAGGGAAACGTGGGGAAAAAAGACCAGTGTTGCATGCATGCATATGCAAATATAATATTCTTTCTTTCTATTCCTATTACCTGATCATCCTACCCAATTACATCTGTTTACCCACTTTTCCTCATACCCTGACCCTTGTTCCTAGTTTTAACGAAGCACGTGTTTGCGCAGGTTCAGCCAACGGTCAACCCTGTCTTACCGATGGCTGGTAGATAGGGCTCTATAATCCTCCTAACAGCAAAAGCATTTGGACTATTATTAGTTCCCTTCCCCCAGCACTACTGGATGATGCGGCCTGTGTGCATATGTGATCGGGCAATTAGGCTTACAGTGTGTGGGCAGATACTGAGAAATTGTGTCCTCCCATTGGATTAAAAGGCATCCCTTCTGAACCACAGCGCCTCTAGTGGTCGACGTTCAACAGCACAGTCTAATAGAGATCTCCACTGTGATCATGCATTTCCATCTGAAATATTTTTTTTTTTTGATTTAAATGATTTTAAATGATTTAATGTACATTTAAAACACTATACTTTGTGATATTGATATAATAATATTGCTATATTTGTATTTGTTATTAAATTATTTAAATTTAAATGATTTTAAATGATTTAATGTACATTTAAAACACTATACTTTGTGATATTAATATAATAATATTGCTATATTTGTATTTGTTATTAAATTATTTAATGTACATCTAAAACTATGCCTTGTTAGCTATATTAACATAATATTGTTATATTATTTTAAATATTTAATTTATATTTAAACACTATACATTGTTTCATTCATATAATAATATTGTTATTAATTTATATTTTAATTGTACATTTAAAACATTATACTTTGTTATATGAATATAATAAAAGTGTAATTATATTTAATTTTAAATATTTAATTTACATTTAAATGCTATACGTTGTTATATGAATATAATAATATTGTTATATTAATAAAAGGAAAAGAAAAAAAATCAACACTGATATGAGGGGATTTCTAATCTGCTGAAGGAGTGACTGTAAATTTTAGCTTTTTTTTCTCCCTCATAATTCATCTCTATTTTGTACCTCGTTTTAGAAAGGCAGTGTTCAGATCTGGGACTCAGATTTAAACAGAGTTAAGTGTTTAGAGTTTTCTGTTCTCTCTGATCCTATCAGATAATTGTATTACAATCTGGCTGACGAATGACAAACCACAGAATTACATGCAAACACCGCCCTTCAATCTCATCAACTTTTCCGCTCCTCTGAGGCCTGACCAGCGCATGCTAGTTAAAGTCCTGACTCATACTTTCTGCTCCTAAAGTCGTTTTCTCACATACCGCTGTCAGCAAAGCAAACTATAAGCTGCAAAATGAAAATGAAATTGACTTACTAACATTGTCCACTAACACTGTCCATTCTAAGTGCTCAGATTGTCTAAACTGGTGCCTTTCTTTCTTTGCCTCTTCTAGATCTCATCTCTTCTTTTTGTGCCAGACGTTACGTTACTTTACATGCTGTCTGGGTGTAGAAGAGAACAATGGACAACGAAAGCGTTCGTTAGGTCACCAGCTCAGTGGCGGATGTACAGCAAGACACGATTATCTGTGAGTAAAAAGCAACCAGAAGCTATCTATCTATCTATCTATCTATCTATATTTCACAGATATAATGATTTTTCCTTCTAAAGCTCTTGCTTCAATCACTTACACTTCCTATTGATTCATGGCTTACACGATCTTTCATCCATTAAATCCATGGCTTTCTCGTGGATGAACCGAAAGCAACAAAAGAATGGTACAATGTGTTAAGCAAAGCCCAGAGATCTTGGGAATAAAGACCACACAGCGGAGCCACCAGTTGCTACATTTAAGCACATAATATTCAGACAAATAAAAGCCGCATTCAGTTCATAAATGTTCACCTATACGTTCTTAGGTGTTTTTAATAATATCAAACACAAATGCATCAAATGCATTCTCTGAATTGGCTACACAGTTAAGGTAATTACTCCTTGGTCGTTCTCCTGTGTAAACGGAAAATCAAAAGCCGCCACATTATGCTGATCGGCATTGGCTATTCTTCACCAAACAATGCATTCCCATTTTAAAACCAAGCAAAATCATTTCATATGTGGAAAGTAAGGGTCTTTCTTTCCTTGACTGTCTGTGATATTTTATTTATAAAGACAAAGAAAAGAACAATTTCAAGGCCCTGCTTGATTAACACAAAACCACTGAGAAAGATGGACAGTGTTGAAGTCAAAGACATCCCACTTTGATTAATGCAGCATATTTCTAAGTGAAACAGGATGATTCTGTACCCAAAGCATTACGGTAAACCTTAAGGGAAAAGCACAAAAGGCTCAAAAGAGTTAAAGTTCAACTCTAACAACAGAAACTTATATCATAAGCTTTGTGTGTGCGCAGTAAAGAAGATACAGCCAGTGTTGAAGTCAACATCCTCAACCCACTTTAAATAAACAAACATATTTCTAAATGAAACAGGAAGTTTTATGACCCAAAACATTACTGTAAACCCGAATTTAATGGCACATTCTTAAAAATAAAACTTCCATCGGGGGGGTTTCACAGCAGTGCATTAGAAAAGAACCATTTTCGGTTGAAAAACATTCTAAAAAATCTGTAGAACCTTTTGTGGAATGGAAAGATTCCATGTATGTTAAAACTTTTTCATACTGCCATCGACACCAATAAAAGAAGCTTTATTTTAAAGTGTAAAGACAAACACACAACAAAGTGAAACAGGATGTTTCTTCACCTAAAATATAACTGTAAACTCCAATTTCAAGGTAAAGAGAAACACAAAAGGCTCAAGAGTGAAAGATCAACTGAAAATGACAAAAATGGTATTCTTATGTCATTAACACAAGACTTTGTGTGTGTGTGTGTGTGTGTGTGTGTGTATGAGATTCCATCCGTGCGTCGTGCTTTGTGGCAACATGCTGCTGGCTGTATTGATTAAAAAGATTGCGCACACTGACTCACTCAAGGTTTTCAGAACTGCCAATTTAATTCTTTTAAAGCTGCTTTTTATCACCGCGAGGACCTGCGAATTCAGAAACATTCAGATTTAATGTTGGCCAGCTGTGTTTGTACATCAACCTCAACCCAAAACCCAAATATGTATTCAATCA